CTTGAACGGACTGTTTGACGTGCAGTTATGACGGTTTGTCAGAAAACGCCAAGAGTTCTTACGCTATGCTGAAAGTTATGCCAGAAATTCTTTCATCAAGTCCAAGTCTTGATCAGCCAGAGTCTTCGTTGTGTCCACATAAAGCCAGAGAAGTGTAAACTACAGCACCGTAAACTCGGCAGCAGGTCAAACCTGCCCACCATTGTGACATCTATACGCCTTTGGTGAAATGTGTCCAGTTTGGGTTAAATTTCTTGGATAGCCGTCTTAGTTGTTATGTCGACTTTTCCCTTGGAGATATTATTTTATCTACTTTATGTTTGTATCAGGTTGCTTGTATCAGCTTTCAGACAAACAAAAGAAACAGTAGGACAATAAACACACAAAAAAATTTGTGTTTGTGGTACCAGTTGAACAGCAGGTAGTCTATTTAATTTAAGGCCAAATCGGCTACACTTTTAAACAGTAAAGACAACTTGATCCGCGCACCGTACAGGTGTTGGATAAAACTAATAAACGAAAATGTTCTATATTCGAGACCACTTTACTTAAGTCATAAACTTCAAGAGGCCGTCCGTCATTTCATGTAACGTTTTGAGCCTGTTAATGAGACGTAAGGTGTTAACACTGAAATGAAAGCTACTGAGTAGAACTTCCCCCGTGGTACTGTTTATTATGGCTGCTGTACAAGGTGTTTCTAGCTTTTGAATCTGTGACTGAAATTTAACGCTGTTCAAGGGGTTTGAAATCGAAAACATCCCGTTCTAATCGTCTACACGACTTCGCTCCGTCCCATCCAAAAAAGCGGTTTCAAAAATCTTCAAACAGATGCCATTTCGTTGAGGGGACTCACTGGATTCGTTTGGACGGAAGGCCGATACGCGTAAAAAAATCTGCGGTTTCAAAAATATCTGGATTTGTGGAGACTGGGCCTAACTCTTGAGTAGACTAGTCAGGGGCACCCAACGACAATTTCGGAAAATGTCTGTTCGGAAGAATATTTGAGATCTACAATTTTTGGAACATTTGTTGTAAAATTCCTTGCTTGCCTGCCTCTCCTAGGATTTTCGAACATCTAAATAATGGTATAATTGCCTATTTTTAAAGGAGTTTTACCCTAAAAAGGTCACCTAGAATTTTCGGGAGCCTTTTTTCTGGCTGGAATTTTCGAAAAGGAAAGTTTTGATCCCTATAATTTTCGGATCATTAGACTTTCAGCTAGGAAATCCGAACAGATGAAAAATTTTTAGGGGATAAAAATATGCCTTTATCTACCGTTTAAATACTAAAATACGTTTAACAATGCTATGTTTAAGTGGTTTTGAACTATATTCTCGTTGGGTGCCCCTGACTAGTGAATTGGATCCTTAAGAGTAGCCATTCAGGATTAAAAACACGTACTGAAAAGTACTACGCGGACAGGAACAACGCGGAGAAGTAATTCTTAGTCCTGCGATACTGTTTGTACTATTATGCTTTACTAGGTTGCTACAACTTTTGATTCTGCGGCCGAAATCTAACATTACTTTTCCTGTACTATTTATATGACCACATCGTTGCAGGAGTCTCTACTTGTCACTAGATTTAAAACTGACTTGCATCCAGGGTAGGCTTCCCATAATACCATTGTTTTTTTTTTACTTTTTGGCGTAAGTTTTAGGTGATGTTTGGTTTTTCTACTTTTAATTGTTGATGGAATCCTTAGTTGCTACCATTCAAACAAAAGCTACTGAGCAGTACTTTCCTGTGGTCTGTTTATTATGCCTTACAAGGTGGTTTTAACTTTTGAGTCTGTGGATGAAATCCTAACTTGTGACCATTCAAATGAAAGCTACTGAGCAGTACTTTCCTGTAGTACTGTTTATTATGCTGTAAGAGGTGGTTTTAACTTTTAAGCCTGTGGATGAAACCTTAAAGTGTTACCATTCAAATAAAAGCTACTGAGCAGTACCTCCCTGTGGTACTGTTTATTTTGCTGTACAAGGTGATTCTTACTTTTGGTTATGTGGATGAAATCCTGAAGAGTGACCTCTCAAATGAAAGCTACTGAACAGTACTTTCCTGTACTACTGTTTATTGTGCGTTACAAGGTAGTTGCAACTTTTAAGTATGTTGAAGGAATTCTAAATCGCTAACATTTTAATGAATTATCATGCTGTTCACGGATGGCTGAAATCTAAAGAGGGACTGGTCATCAATGAAAGCTACTGAGCCGTAACTATACCTTCCTCCTGGTGCTGTTTATTATGGCCTTTAAGGTGGCCCCAATTAAGTCTTTGAATGTAATTCCCAAGTCTGCTTCACCGACTATCAACTTTGAAATAAAGCGAATTTCCGTAGAATATGTGGCCGGAATCTTACCTGTCCAATAAAATCCCTGCTACGCTCGCTCCCAACAGTGCGTACGCCGCTTGAGTAAAAAACAACCAGCTCATCATATCTAGACCATGGTGAACCAAGTGGCCTAACTCCATCAATGTTGGTCCCAAAATAGCCATTGTGGTTCCAAAAGAAAAAAAGCAACCGCAATACAACACTGTGATTAGCACTCGGCGCGGAAAACAAGCGTTACGTCCGTTTGTACTTGAGCGAATGTGATCGGAATATTTGCCGTTCTTTTCCGCCCGGTCTCGAGCGATAGTCAAGCCAAGAAGATGTACAAAGCTCATAACTTTCTTTCCTCTTCATGTGTGAAGGGAGCTTGTGTTTAAAATCTCCAACTAGAGGACATATTTGTAACCAACGAACGAGAACGGCGCGAATTCCGCTACACAATTTTACTCTCTCCACCGCGGGATTTTGCTCTTTCAACGCGTTGAATTCTATGTTCTTGGGTTACTCAAGTTTTCTCTAAATGTAAAAGCCATGACTTTAGACTTTGGCCATAATCACTTCGCCATGATCGTCGATAATATTATTTTTCAAATATGGCTGCCTTTTGGCGGTTGGTGTTAGTAATTTATTATTCATATAACTTTAATAACTAGTAGCATGTACTTGTTTTATAAACAAAAAGAAAGTTTCCTACGACAAAATACCTCTTCATCCTCTTTGCAAAAGAATATTCTTCTTTTAATGAGTGAATTCTTGGTACTTTATGATTACAAGTTGTCTAGAAGTATCATTGACTAGCAGAGAAACGAAGTGATTAGATTTTACAAAAGTGAAGAAGTTCTCGCGTTGGGTGATTGTTGTTTTGCTTTCGATCATTCTTTCCTTGTGAGCGAAGAGAAAGAGAGCAGGTTAATTATTGGTTCTGAAATAAAAACAAATTTCTTTTGGCAGAAATAACAACCTGCAAGTAGACAACTTTGCCAAGACCAGGTCTAAAACGACTTTAGGACGAAAAGTACGAAAGTTGTAGTTCTTTACCACCGTGTAAATCCCAGATCATACCTGTTTGGTCTTATGTGGATGCTGGCTTTTCATCGCTCTAAACTGGTGGAACTCTCTCGAAACGGACATCTACCTAATAAAGGGACACTTGGAGTTGGTCCCTGCCATACTTAATCCCTAATCTTTTACTCTTTTTAATGTGGACGGTCTTGTATGACCGACAGTTAATGCCGATTCCGGAGGTATTAGTCTTGAGTCAACTACTCTAAAATGCGCAAAACTAATTGTTTTATCTCTATACCAGAATACAGTGGACCCTCGATTTAACGAACACCTGTATAACGAAGTTCTTGAAACGAACGATTTTCTTTTTCCCAGTAATAGTAAAATATTGAAAAAGAATCTCGATATAACGAAACCTCGTTATAGCGTACAAATTTTGTCAGTTCCTTGGCCCTTCGTTAAATGGAGGTTCCACGGTCGTACAGTACAACAGCCAACGACGTTTATTTTTATCCGCGAATATGTTACATGACAGCTGAGGCAGCAGCACCAAATGAAAGTGACGCGTAAGAATTCAGAAAACCAGCTACAAAAAACAATCTGAGTTTCCAAAATACTGAAAGGCACTTTAACATCGACCAAAGATATCGGCGGACCAAGGATTATGGACCAACCGAAGACAACTATACATTTGCGGGATTTTGACGCGCACTTTTGCGTTTGGATTTTTTTTCACGCATTAGTTTTCAGCGTTGGTAAGGACATCTTAGGACAAGTTTGTGAAAGCTGCATTGAGGGCCAAAGTGAAGAGGCACTCCCATAAAATGGCCTTCTTTTTGCATAGTGGCCATATCTAATCCCTCCTTCTGTACCCCTATCCCTCCCCCCAAACCAATGTTACACTTTAAGCCCTCAAGTCTTTCTTCAACTACAAACAACACTGACAGGATTCAGGGGTGGGGGATTGACGGCGTTAAACAGAATTGTATGAAATGAAAGAAATTGTTGATAAAAGGGGGCGTTAGACAAGTGTGGCAACTACTTTTGGCACCGATTGTGGTTTCAATTCGGTAGCCTCTATGCGAGATCCTTCACATAATATGCTTAGGTATCCCTATTTGCGCTCCCAAGTTTATCTTATTTTATAAGTTTTCTATACTAACATAGCATTTCGGACATTGTTTGCGCACTGAATTTGATATTCTTTGTGCATGTTCAGGGTAGTTTCCTAAATTTCCAGTTTTGTCTCCAACTGAATAAGCATTAACCAAGAGAAATATAAAGATAAAAAGAACTTCAAATATTTAATAAAATTCCTAGCTCTATACAACAGAGAACCTACTTATAAAATAATCTTTTGAAACAAGATTGCAATTGAAAAGAAAATTCTCTCGTCATGAGAGCCAACAGAGCTGGGTAAAAATTTGCATTATATAAAATAACTTCTTGGCCGAGATCAGTAGAGGAATGACAAGACCCTCTCTTGTGCGTGGACTTGCCATTATCGTCTTCGGTCATTAAGGAGACCATTTTAGCAGTTAAAACATATATTCTTCTAGAATCAAAGCAATAGTGTACCGTCATTATATAATTTTTTTACAGCAGTTATTTTCTTAAACAGATTCGTCGGTAAGAAAAATTACATTCTTCTTAGTGATTGGTTAACTTTGTAGTTCCGCTACTCTGTGAACTGGCTCGCTTCTGACTGGCTCTTCGTTTCCCGCATTTTCTTCTCCCTCTTCGCACGTGACTAGCGGCGTGTACTCACAATCATCGCAGGCTTGGTTACAATGACATAGGCGCTTAACGGCACATCGATATAGGTCGTGCACTGTAAGAAAAAGCCACTTGTCATTAAGAACGGTTTCAGGACAGTTTTTGTCAAGGTTAAGGTTATGTTCACACTGTATACCGGATTGTTGGTTTTCACATGACCTCACTAAAATTCAAACTAAAAAACTATCGATCCTACTGAGAAATTACTTTCACGATGCATTAGAGCAGCTGAAAACTAATATTTATACAAATTTTTGCTTCAAACGGGTTGTTGGTTTTGTGAAAGAGTACGCTTGAATTTCTAAGCTTTTGCGTGTTGCGGCATTTACATGACGGCCGAGAGAGTTGTCATGTAGGTTAAAAAAATGACTTATTTCAGGAAATTTTGTTATCTAAACGGATAATGTATTAGAAAAGTATTACTTTAATGTTTATGAGTTTCTCGAAGAATAAATTCACGGTTTTGTAGCAAAACTCGGTAACAGATGTTTCTGTTGGTTTCCGTCCGCCATGTTGGAGCTCATCCAGGTGAGCATCAACATGGCGTCTCCATACAAATCTCTATAAGTTTGGGTAAAACATTTCTTCGGATATCTCGCATACGAAATATTCCTCTGACCTGAATCTTGGCGAGGGTCTTTGTATATGTACCTCCTTTCATTTCCCAGATTCTGAACTTTATCTATTGAACGGTTTTGATTTTTATTTTGATCTATTTTGAATGGCGTGACACTGAAAACCAGCAGTAGATTATCGTGCCGACACGAAAATCTGCTCGGTGTAGTACATTAGGAAGCTTAAGCAACGACAACGGCGACGACAACGAGAACGGCAAAAAAGCGATAGGTTTAGACTAGTAAAACAACAACTTTGCACGTGCAACACCTTTTTTATGTACGACTACAACGTGAAAGTGCCCAATTTCATGTTTGGTCGACGACATGAATACAAGACAACGACTTTCTTCTTCTTTTCTTGAACTTTGATACAGTCTTTTGGAATTCAACTCCAGAAATATTTGCCAACATTTGACGAATTGAACGAGTTGGAATAAGCGCGATAACGTTTGAAGTAGCGCGAATTCACTTTTTAAGTGACGTTTTCGTAGCCGTCGCCATGTTTGTTGCTTAAGCTCCCTAGTTACTGTATGAACAGCAACGGTACAAAACTGGAACAAGTCGTTCACACACATCAAAAATCGTGCCTGAGCGGTTGGCCGAGAGAGTTTGGTGAACTAGATCCCAGTCCTCGCTCGCATTTACCCACTTCCGCTACGGTCTGAATATCCGTTTACACTGCACCAAAGTGTAGCACAGAACCTACCCGATATATGACGCTCCACTTTCGAGATCGGCGGGGCGCTGCTTCGCTCCGTTACAGAAATCGCGCCGAAATATTTGTGTTTGCAACAAGAGAGAATGTTGCGAATTAATGCACGTGTGGTATCTCTAGAAAAGAGAAGGGGTCGCACATGGAGATTTTTCGTACGTATTTCAAATTAATTGAGTTTGAAATATTTGGTTCCAGTCCTTCCTTAGCTTGGGAAATCCGGCTCTTAAAAGGTATCCATTTACGTCACAACCCTTTGCTATGATACACTAACCTGATTGGTTAAGTTGCGCTCTGGCTGTCATGCGCAGTATCAGGAACACCAGAAGAGCGAATGTACAAATCAAGAACCCGATCACCAAGAACGAGTAAGGGCCATCACGGGCGAAAGCCTGGGAATTTGAAATAGAAACATAATTTTTCTGTTCAATTTGATATCTTACTTGTTAAACAGTTAAAAGGGCTATATTACCAGGATACTGTTGTTTTAGGTCAATTCTGTGACTATATTTTTAGAATTCAATTGATGCGAAGATACGTTTTAGCTTTTTATAAAAAAATGCAAGTAGCGTGACATAGCTTCTTGACCCTCCTTTACAGAAACGAAAACTGACGAATCTTTGCCAACTAAACCAAAACAGGAAGAAAAAACAGAACCTTAAGTACTGTTTAAAAATCTAGCAGGAGTGTATTATCAGGTTTAAAAACACGAGGCGAAACCGAGAGTTTTCAAACCTGATAATACACGACCGCGAGTTTGTTGAACGGCTTCAAAATCTGTAATACAGATCAACTCATTCTTGCACTGATATTTAGATTTGGGTTATTTTTGTCTAACAAATTGAACGTAAAGTTTAGCCGTGTCTTCATAAGATATAAAGAAACTCATTAAACATTAATTTCTATTGTTCCTTCTTTATGAATAATCAATGAGTTTTTAAATGTGCAAAAACATACCACCTGGGCAGTGACAGCCATGACTTTGGTATTTTGGTCAAGCTAAATATGCCAGTATTCCTAGAGTGCCTATTTAGAAAAATCAATCTGAGTACGATGATTACTGCCACCTCGATATAACAAAGGTGCATTGCGGTCGTTGTTGAATGTTAGGGATTCAGGGGTGTTTAAACAAACGTTTGCATTAGTAAGCATCACCTTTCCGACAAGAAGTGGAAATACCATCTCCCCTGTTGCAGAACTCACGATCAAGATACTTGTTATTGAACCTGAAAATACGACAAACTCATAGTAAGAGAAATATTTGTCACTCTTTGTGACTCAGACTTCTGGTCAACTCAATGTCTCCACCTATGGTATTGACTTGGACTGAAATCATTGTTTTGACACGTTTAGCACGTGACTCTTTCTGCTCCAATCAGAATCTTGAGTTGGGGGGTATAACAAGATAATTTGGCATCTGATACGAAGATACATACAACCTCGTTCCCATGGTAATGAGTCATTTGATAAGAGGGACTTTTTGTCCCAACGGCGACGAGAACTGACGTCAAAATAGCAATAGGTTTAGACTGGCAAAACAACCGACAACAAGTCTACACGTGCATCACGCTTTTTGTAAATTTCTTTTCGGTCACTTCAGGACTACGACGTAAAATTGTCGAATTTCTCGTTTTATCGACATTGTAAACAAACGATTTTACAAAGTTAGCCACTTGGGATAATCGCCCTGAATTTTCAAAGAACGCAAAGTCACTTTTTAACTGATTCGCTACAGCTTTACCTGTGACGTCAATGTAGTATTCTGCCAAGGCGAGAGTCGTGGGAAATACAGAGCTCATAAACAGACCAAATGCGCCAGTACCAATCCACAAAGAGAGGGGAAATTGATGAAGGTATAACATTACGGATATTGCTGTAAACGAGCCAAACTGAAACGTAATTCAGAAACACAATTATCGGTTGGTCATGAGGAACTGGTTAATCACGGTTTATAACAATTTTAACTTTTTAAGATCATTTACTTGTATTGGGCTGCGCATCACCTACTGCTCATAAAATTGCGACCAAGAAGGAATAATCTAAGAGAGCGAATCCTGATCTGCCATGATAATTATTTGAAAGTTTGGGCGCGTTGTGAAGGTTATTTTCAGCTATTGTTTCCATGACCCACGCGGTCTACATTCACTTGAATGTGACATATTTCGCCTCCAAATCATTTGACAAAGTTTTATGTTGTTGACATGTCTTTGATCAGCGAGTTCCGCTCATAAACAAAGGCCCTTTTTTAAAGTCCAAGTGGTTTTAATAGCGATTGCGATAACTCTTCCCGGCTACAAACGAACTGGTCTTGAACTCGCCCCAGTCCCCTCGCGCCAAATGATCATTTAAAGCCAAAGTTATTATCATTTTATTGTCTTTTACGATGAAACAAGAACAGTAACCCTCAGACCTTTTTTATTGGTGTTTTTTACTCTTTATGGTGACAAGAAAAATATATTTTAAGGAGAAAAAAATCTATATAGTAGAAGTTGTAGTTGTTAGATATGAATGGCATGAAACTCCGCATTTGAAGCTAGGGATGAGTATGAGATAATGTTAAAACTGTCTATGTATTTCCTTTTACATTTTTTGCAAGATCGAGGAATTTTTTTTCAGCCGTTTTTATTGATGCCACTGTTGTTTACTCAGAAGCTAATAGAGAAACTTTGGAATGGCACTATGGCAAACGTCAACTCGCTTGCAAAATCGCAGGAGATTTATTTACGATTTCTATGCCGTCTCGTATGATTAAAATTACTTTTAATTACCTACCAGATTCGCGAAAAGCATTTTGTCCGGAACCAGGAATACTGAAATGAGGATTGAAATAAATCTTCCAACGGCGAATGAACACTGCAAGGAATTAACATGGGCGTACTATTGAGTATTTGAAGACGGGAATTTCTTGGAATTCCATTCAGAAACATATTCATTATATATATGAAATTCAAACCATGTCCCTTACGGCTTTTCACTACAACGTCTCGAACTGTCTCCTTTCATGTCGCAGTTTCATTCCAATTTCGTTTTATTTGTCACCATTCTAATGCCCTATATGTTTGTCTTAAGGCCATGTCGATCGCTCGCAGGTATTAAGTATATTAAACAAAACAAAAGCTAAGGAAATTGAATGAAGTAAACTATGTTTACCGACATCTCGTACCCAGAGCCGCTCGGGCCCTTAGGTCAGCGGGTTGTCGCCAGGAGACACGACCACCTGGCGACTACGCACTGACCAAAGAACCCGAGGGCGCTCTGGGTACCAGTTTGCGTTAACAGTACGAAGGAGAAATCCGTTCTTACTCAGTTTATCTACCTACCCAGAATAATGAATTAAGATAAGCAGCATGAGATGAGGATAGATCTACTTCGCTTTTAACCGCATACGTGTATACATAGCCACCAAATGCCCCTTGTAATCCATCAAACAAGAATAGCAACAGGCCTGCCAGTAGGGTGACCAGCGGTATTTTGGCGGAAAGACTGCAGAATGATAGTCTAATAGACGAGTGGTCAGCCATAGACTTGAACACCTGAGGGAGGTCTGGGGAAGAAAATGATTTACAAGTTAAAAAAACAACAACAACAATTTTATAGATAAAAGTGCACACAGACGAAAAAATAACCGACACAAACACGATGCCTTAACATCAGGGAAGCACTATCGTCTACGCTCTTACCTCGCTAAACGGCTAGGCTTACTTCAAATATATGATCGTATTTAGCAAACAGAGAGGAGAAGCCTCTTTTCCAAAGGTGTAAGTACACGTTCTTTAACAATCGATTAATTTCTCTTGTTGCTTTATGTTTTGCACAGTTATCACCCGAATTGAAAGAATCATCTTGCTGCTACCAATTCTAGAAAAACTGGGCCGAGCTGACTTTCGCAAAGACCTCTGGGACTGTTATTAGTGTCAGAAAAACCAATTGGCCAATGGCTCACTGGCGCGTCCATAGTAACCATCCCAGAATTAATTGTGGGACAAATTCGGTTCCAGTTCTCTTCTCGTTTATAAATTGCCGAATGAGTACAGTAAGCCTTTTCCCCAGCCCCTTTCAATATGTAAGAGAGAAAAGCCCTGGGAACAAGTTTGCGATACCTTCACTTTCTGTTTCATCTCCATTCCCAGCAGGCAAAGCGGCGAGAGTGACAACTCTCCCAGCAAACATTTCGGGTGCCCAGCGTCTGAGGTAGCGCTGTCTATAAATTAGATAAAACAGGCCTGACTGCACTGGAACCTTGAGGGGGAAAGAAAAAAGGCCTGGGTTATTATTAGCACGTCGAAATAGAGTCCAATCAACCAAAAGAATTGAAAATTTATCATCTTGCAGCAACATTGTGAATTTTCAAGATTTTCTAACTCTTTTTATGTCAACATACTGATGTAACCCATAAAGGATAACTCACGAAATTAACGGTCTTCCTTTTGTACAGTAAAATCTTAACAGTAAAGGTTAGAGCTGACACGTTTGAAAACTGGGTGGTTTTGCCTCGCTCAGGCTCCAGTATGTGGGCCTACTTGCCGCCTGTAAGTGGCCATCTAGCTATTTCCTTTGTTTTATTCGTAAATTAAAGGAAATATGAGACGTACATGCATGTTATCGACTTATTGCATCTGTTGTGGTTCAATTTTATCCTTGGTTTAAATGTTATTTTCTTTTGTTTCAAACTCATCATCATACATTACCATACCCCAAAACAAAAGAAAATAACATTTAAACCAAGGATAAAATTGAACCACAACACTCCAAAAGCAGACATATCTGATACAGTCTGGCGCCCAGGAGGGTACTCAACAGAGTTTCATACGGGAGCGGGGGAGCTCCGCTAGGAGGTCCGACTCCCTACTCAAAAATATACCGTTTTCGACCGAAAAGATAGCCCTTTCGTATAACTTTGTATCCCTTTTGACTGCTGTAAATTCAGTGAATTTTAGATATAACTAAATCTCATAGCCATAAAATGCACCTTTTAGCCGTTTTGGACCTTTTTGTACGATGAAATGACAGATTTCCCTACCCTTTCATACACTTTTACTAGTGAAAACTCTGCCCTTTTATACTTAGAGCTACTTAGATGAAGCCTGAAAAAGGGCCCCCTTTCGTGTGGAGCCTTCCGGTATAGGCAATTATAGGGATTACCCCCGGGGTTAGGGAGTATCCGCCGGGGTCCGGGGATATAAACACAAACCTGGAGAAGTGCTACAAGCCAGTAAGCATATTGAACAAAAGACTTAGTATGATAATGTCTTGGTAGAGACACTCTTGACACGGTATCGTTCAACATAGTCACGTTAAACTTGACTCCATCCACGTTATACGTAATATAAGACTCCAGGGTGGAATTTTCAAGTGTCCAACCAAAGATATTGCTTTGGAAATGCCCATCTGCGCATGCGCTACGCAGGAAAGGCTCTGCAATGACAGGGCTAACGAGGGCCCCAAGGCCGTAGAAGAAGTGAAGAGACTGGAAAATAAAAAGAAAAGTACTGCTTTCTCAGGTAAATTAAGGCATGGGCCTCAATTTGCCTTAATTTGCTCTCTTCAAAAGTAAGGGTGTGGTCTATATCTAAGAGCTTTAGATGAATAGACATAAAACTTTGCCAGCTAACCACATTTTTAGTTTGTGTCAATTTTGTGCTTTAAAATTATGCAAATTAGGTCACGTGACCTCCATTGGCTGAAAAAGCTTGTTCTTCAAACGGCAACACTTTTTCGTGTGTCTTCAATTATTTTGCCGGTTACATAATGTTAATGCCGTTTAATGTGTCACTTCTGTGCTTGGCCTTTTTTAGATATTTAAAATCGAAGGCGTTAAGATGGGATACAATTGCTTTGGGGGACTGGGTCTAGTTGAAAAAGCCGTTTATTTTCTAAAACAGTAAAAAATTCAAAAAAGGCCAAACACAGTCTTGTAGATGCTTGCATTACACATTGTTCTAAACCAGTCCGGTTTAATAACTCACAACAAAAAGTGTTGCCATTTTTGTTTAAAGACTTTTTATTGTTTTCTGGCCGTGTGGAGTCACGTGACAACATTTGCATAATTGAACATCACCTAATTGACAGAAACCACACATGTATGTATCTGGCAAGGTTTCATCTTTCTACTGCTTTCGTGCTCAGAGATAGACCACCCCCCATCACTTTTTTATTGAATCATTGGGGACCCATGCCTTAATTTACTTGAGTTGATGAGTTTTCTTTAGTAATTCTGCGAGACAAAAGGCAACAAAGCATGCTTGAATCTTGTTTAATAGTGTTACAATCCGCTAAATGACGCAATTCGTAAGGGAACGAAAAAAATTCGAATTCTGATTGACTTCCGCCCTTTCTAGGCGCCCTTTTACCGGGAAGAACTCAGAAACAATTAATGACGAAACCAACGGATATAATACCACAGTGCAGGATGTTAGGATAAAAAAAAGGTACCATAAAATTTTGTTAAATGAGGGGTGTTTAATTAAACTTTGAATTCATTTGAGGAGTCAGAGAATTTAATCGAAAAACTGAGACGTAATATCAACACGTACCCCTTCGGTTATAACACAGATAAAACACTCGTTCTTATATTTCATATATTGCTTCTCAGGGTCTGGATATTGGATGAAAAACTTCTTCGTGTGTTAACCTGTTAAATTACTTTTCGGTGTTTGGATATCAGATGAAACACTCCTCCTGCATGGTATTTGATAAATCACCCCTCGGTGTTTGGATTTCGGATGAAACATACTTTCTCGTGTTTAATCTATTACCTCTTGGTGTATCGATATTAGCTGAAACACACACCTTCTCGTGTCTTATATTAATATTTGGATATCAGATGAAAAACTCCTTCTAGTGTTTGAAATATTACTTCTCGGTGTTAGGATATCAGATCAAACACTCTTTCTCGTGCATAATTTATTACTTCTCGGTGTTTGGAAATCAAATGAAACACTCCTTCTCGTGTTTAATATATTACTTCTCGGTGTTTGGATATCAGATGAAACCCCCGGGATGAAACACTTATAATGTTGGAGATATATTACTTCTCGGAGTTTGGATATAGGATGAAAGGCTCCTTGCCGTGTTTGATATATTGCTTGTCAGTAGTTTGGATATCAGATGAAACACTTCCTCTTGTGTTTTATATATGACGTCACGGTATTTGAGTATCAGCATTCCTTCAATTCTCGTTTTATATTATTTCTCGGTGTCTTGATATCAGATGAGACACTTTTTCTCGTGTTTGATATGTGACTTGACAGTGTTTGGATATCGTGTTTGATATTTCATCATAATCCAGAAAGAAAGTACAAAAGAATGAACTTTTAATGAGTGTTAAATTCGTTTTTATCTCTGTTCTTTTTTATGGAACAGAACACTCTTCGTAATTTCCAAGGATTCCGAGGAACAGAGTATCACTTACCTGTAATCTTGGTGCCACCTATAAAAATTCAAAATGACCATATTAACGAAAAAAGTCAATAAAAACCAATTTTCACTAAAGGTTTGTATTTCTCAAAGCAAATAACGCTCTGTGACGTTTTGTGATTGATTGAGAAGTTAAATCAAATTCTTTACGCATTCTCACGAGACAATTTTTCAACTTTCTCCGTGTTCAATATGATATATGATGAAATACTATGTTAGATTTTTGCAAAAACAAGAAGAAAACTCCTCCTTTGCAAGGTCGACTCTTGCCCATCCTCCCCCAAAGCAATGAGTCTGTACAGGAGTACGCTTACGCGTACCGTCAAGTCACGTGACTTCCGAGAGGACGCGCTGATGATAATAGAGACTCTTAAGCAACAACGACAGCGACGGTTAAGGAAATGTCTCTTAAAAAGTGAAGTCGCTCTGCTGCAAACTTTACAGCACTTATTCCATATTGTTCAATTCGTCAAATGTTGGCAATTTTTTCTAGATTTGAATTCTAAAAGACTGCATCGAAGTTCAAGAAAAGAATAAGAAAATCGTTGTCTTGTGTTTTCACGTCCTCTTCAGTCGTGTAGTAACAGAAAAGAAATGTACAAAAAAGCGTGATGCACGTGCAGATGTTTTTGTTTTGCCAATCTAAACCTATTGCTTTTTTGCCGTTCTCGTTGATGTCGCCGTTGTCATTGCTTAAGCTCTTTAATGGCGCGGTCAGATTGTGCAAACCGACTGGAGCAATGGAGTCGCTTTCAGCCCTTTCCGCGCACTTTTTGCGTTCTTTTGCTAATCTACATAATGCGCGTATTCACATGACGTCACGGCGGCCATATTGGTTTTCCAAAACAATGAAACGGCGGCCAAATTGGTGGTCCAAACAAATCCTGTGGGGGTTGGACTCTTTTCTTATGTAAAAAATTTCTTTTGTTCCCGTAAATTTGCATAGATGCTGGCCACGTGAGTGAATACGCTCCATAATACACGCACCTTTTTCCCGTGAATTTTGATGAGGATACTGTTTGCTACTGTGTCAATTATTCCCATGTGAACTCCCAACAGGGCAAAAAACGCCAGCATTATGCCAAATACGTGACACACTGGAATGATAGCTAGGTATACTGCTACGAAAGTCACGCAGTACAACAAGATGACGTTACAATCGTACCTGAAAAGAGCATAAAATGAGGTGAGTGAGGTCACGTTACCACGGTAGCATGGTAGCAATACCATTTGCTTTTCTAGAGGGGGGTGAATAGGCCAACGGATCGGCGGATTTTGCAAATATTTTTGCCCGGATTTCGGATTCAAAGCGAGATTTTAACGGATTTCTGGATTCTGCAACCGCAGCGGAATGCGGATTCATCTATTTTTTGGTCGCGGATTTTGGACTCTGCTTGTAATACAAATATTTTTGCTCGGATTTCGGGATTCAGGGTGAAAATTTAACGGCGGATTTGGTTAATAAATCATAACGGATCGGCGGATTTGCATACTCCTATTCACCCCCCTTTTTCTAGTGTAACGATGGAAGAAAAGTATGGGCCATCGTTTTGTTCCTGAATGCACTCATGCACAGGAAAGTTATACACGTCAATTTTTTTTTCTGCCATATTTGCAACACCACGGTTTGTTGACATCCAGAAATTTGGCTACCATGGCAACGTGGCAATGACGTCTTCTGTCTATTCTATTCTAGTTTTTGGCTCTTATCTCGCACTCAAATCTCCCACTGTCTAGCCAACTGGTCCAGCAGATTTCAAACGAAAAACGCGAGGGAGATCTGGTTAAGATATAGTTAGTTTATGAGGGAAATTTTCGGAAGAAACGATCAAGAAAAACTACAGTTTTTACACACAACGAAATAAATGTTTTCTGATTTAAGCACTTATTGCTTAAAGACTTTTTCAGGGGGTCGAGGTTAAAAAGTACCAACTTTAGCTCAGAAGTGTAGACCGAAAACCTATTTAGTATTCGCGTATGCAGAGATTGTAAAAACGTATGTCGTATTCGCGTAGGCAGACATTGTGATATCATCAGTAACTAACAATCGATTGTTCATCCTTAATATTGTAATCATCACATGCAACGATATAGAAACGGATACAGCAAACTTATACAACAATGTAACTTTAGAAAGAAAGGCGAGGAAAAATTAAGATGCTGTTAAGATTATATTGTTCAAGATTAATATGTACCATTTTCGTATTTATATGAGAAGAGAATTAATATCAATGTCTTTTGATTGAGAGTTTTACATTCTATACGAACTGTTCTTTGGTATACTACTGTTATCACAGGTTATCGGTATACTGCTGTTCACAGGTTATCGATCCGCCAGCGCCAAGATCGCTGATAAAACTCGCAGAGAACGTTTGCGTCGTTTCCCTGAGATAGACTTCAGTTCTATTTTAAGGATGTTTTATTAATAGATTAACGCCTAAAATTAAAATCTCTTCAACATGATTTTTATGCTGTTGTTAAATAAACCTGCTTACCAGACGGAATTCACAGGGCATCCCCTTATTGCTCCGCATGTAGCATACAGTAGAAGACTGATAGTGTATGACGACCTCCACTTTCCTGTTTAGAATGCCCTACATGGGGCCTTAGTTAGAAGAAACTGCCTTTCTCACTTAACTTTTTTCACTCCATTGCGTTTATCTGTCTTTGAGCCTTTTATTGGCGTAATAAGATAAATCCCTAAAGAGAGCTTTATAAAAAGAGCTCGTAGGGCCTTTTTTGCCTATGGTGTGCATTATTTTCGTATTCTAAGCATGTAAAATACACAAAATATCATTTGCGATTTTACAGTTAAATCGCTTGGAATTTTTTACTTACTGAGGACTTTACCATATTTAATTTACATTCGAAAATTATAAAATGAATTTAAATCTTTACCTGTCTGCCAAAAATCCTCCTAAACTTGATCCAAACAAGGCGCTTAGTGCTTGCGAAAAAAAGACCCAACTCATCACATTAACCGGGCGGTTCGTTACACAACCTAGTTCCAGCAACGTCGGCCCAATAACAGCAGCCGCCATTCCAAAGGTCCAAAACGAGCCGCAATAGCATATCGTAGCTGTGACACTCTTCAAGAATTCTTCTTCGTTTCTGTAATCTTTCAGCTTCGATGTTGTTGAATTATCGGCGGATTTCCCTTTCTCGCGTTTTATCGTTGTCTCGAAAATACTTGGGATATCTCCTTTGAAGAAGTTGTCCAGCATATTTAAATAACTTACGAGCGAGTTACGAAAGAAAGATTGAAGCAAAACATATCATTTTAAACGAAATGATAATCACATTCCTGTAAAATCTATTTTCTTCATTCTCTGCGTCTTAACCTATTTTACCACGAAAATAAAATTAAGCGATGTGACGTCATGAATTAATAGGCGAGTTGAAAACCTCGCAAAGCGTCAAAGTTTTCGCGAGCGAAAAATGTCTCTTCGACGCGGCCTGTAGTTCACTCGAAGATACTCACATATCAATGTTTACGTTTTTTATTCTTGGCAGTATAATAATATCTTTGTTCGTCTCCGTTTGAGTAGGCTCTGATTTTAGTTTGGAAATCATTGTTCGCGACAATATTTGCCAATCAAAAATTGATGACATCATATTTTATTTAGTTGTTAGCTCAATACATTTCTTCTGATTTTCCTCAATAGACATGTTGTTGTAGTTTGAAAATATTTTGTAAATAAGAATAGATAACGTCAAGGAAGATTTTCTGTTAGCGAAAGAAATTCAAGTGGGGTAGACTAATTTTATAATCTAATCCAAAGCTGAATTTGTCAAAACCTAGATTGAGATCTTCAGAATTACTCGGCAAGCTTCTCGGCAAGTGTTCCATTTTTTGTGATCGATATGGCATCTCTTTTCGAAGCGACCATAACTCTCTTCAAAGAGGAAACTTCAGCGTAATTTCTCTGGTGTAGACAAAAAATACAGTTTTGTAGTTTAATTATTTAATATTCGCAATTATAACCTCCAAAATTTCATTTTTTCGGATCGATCTTACTTGTGAAAGTGCTTAATTATTTAATAAATTCAAATTCGATTCAATCGCAGGTTCTCTCAAGCAATGGCGGTCGCCCCCTGGCGATGTGAGAATTTCGACTGAAGCACAATCTGGACATTTGTTCCCGACTAAATTACTTATCGAGGTTTTTTATGGAAACAGAAAAATTGCCTTGTTGGATATACCAGGCTGGTCTCGACTGTATTTTCCATGTTTCTCTGTAAATAAACTATCTGTATGAGGAAGACATCCTTCTTAGGTGGACAGCAGACGGTATTTTTTTACAATCTTCTTTATGGATACTAGAAAATACTCTAAAGGTAATAGATTAGGGGCTGAATGTCATTTCAAATCAAGCTGCCTACGAACCTGGGGTTGTCATAGCAACAACGTCATTTCAACCACAGCCTTGTACAATCTGAAATTCTTCAAACAGCTGGGCTGTACAGTTGCAACTCGCTTTTCAGACACCCGCTTAATACGTACACCTCAATATATATCATGAACAATTTCGCTTGTCCCTGGGGAAAGAAAGCCCTTATAATTATTTTCTGTTAACCCTTTAAGCCCCAATATCCACACACAAATTCTCCACACTGATATCCATACATTTCCCTAGGGATAAGTTGAGAGAGTTTAATAAAAGATCAAAGCATTTTCTCTTTGGTGATCTTTTGATTAATTCTTTCAACCATTTCTCTTGACAATATTAGGATATTGTTAGGAGAAATCTGATGCTGGTCACCATTGGGACTTTAAGGGTTAATTCAACCCACTCAATTTTCCACTCCAGAAAAAACTAAAAGGAGAATGGGTGCAGGTTTTCGGTGCTACGATTTCTGGGATCATTTGGGTGGACAAGCATTACTTATGATTGGTGGATGACATCCTAGTACCCAGGCCAGTTCACGCTATGTGAGTTCCTTGGCGAATTTTGCTGACAAACGTAACAGGTGATGTCAGATCCGAAATTGCCGAGGACGACTGGGAACGAGGCTAGGTGGATGATATTCAAGGCAATCATTAAACAACACATCCCACCCAAACAATCCCAGAACTCATTGCATCAAAAGCTTATACCCAGTCTCCCTATAGTTCATCGAGTGGGGAATGCAGGTACCTCAGTCATAAGGACACTTTCTATGACCCCCTTGGTGTTCCGTTTAACCCTTTAAGCCCCAATATATGCATACAAATTCTCCAAACTGATCTCTATATATTTCCTTAAAGAATGAGTTAAGAGAATTTGATAAAAGATCAAAGCATTTTCTGTTGGGTGACAATTTTATTAATTCTCATAACCTAATCTCTTGACAATGTATGGACTGTAATAAATTGGAATTCAGGTCTTTCAGGCAGTCCAATGGAAAATCCCTGGGAAACCAATGGAAACTCTCTGCCCATGGCCAGGGGGCATATGAGCACATTTCGTTTGTATTTTTGAGCGCTTTACGAGACATTTTTTCTTAAAGTTTTCTTAAAATAAGATTGTAATGGGAAAAAAGATCCTTGTACCGTGTTTGGATGTAATAATGATCGCCTTTTTCTAGTTTAGTATTAGAAATATGGTCTATCATTGTACATTTCTCGGGAAAAAGGCGATAATTATTACATCCAAACACGGCACAAGGATCTTTTTCTCATTACAATCTTATTCTAAGAAAACTTTAAGAAAAAATGTCCCGAAAAGCGTTCGAAAATACAAATGAAATGTGCTCATGCCTCCTGGGCATCCTATGATACTCCTTAAATCAAATTAATTCAATATGGCCGCCGTATCGGTAAAAAGGTCTATTGGAGCTACACACAAACCAGGGGCGTAGCTAGGGGGGGGGTCCTGGGGTGCCCGTGACCCCCCCCTGGTAGGCCTTCTTTTGAGCAAACAACCTACAATATTCAGGTGGCGAAAACGCCATGACAATATCTTGGCCGTAAAAGCCATTGTGGAAAAGCCCACTATTTTAAAATTTGTTTTTTTGTAAAGTATTTTCGTCAACGGCTCTTGTCTTAAGTTAATATGGGCCTTCATGCCGCAATAATACGTGGTATAATACGTGGAGGTCGACATGACAATCTGGTGATAGCCTCTGTGACCCCCCCTTTGAAAAATCCTGGCTACGCCCCTGCAAACTGTAACATTGGGTGGATATTTATTATCTTCCAATAACTAGATACGTCTGGACCTCTTCTCACAAGACAATGCCTGTGGTTCAAATCTTGTAGCAAGCAGTAAATCTTTGCATTTTAAGTGGTCGCTCACAGGAGGTTTGAACGTATTAAAAACTACATACTGGCATATATAACAATAAGGTATGCCAATGTCCGCTGTAACTATCCAACACAGAAATCAAATAATATTTAATAAAATGATGCATGAAAAATTATACACAGAGGATAAAAGAGTTTTTAAACTCTACAAGAACCGTAACAGACTTTAAAAATCAACAAAACCATTAGAAGGTTTAAATGTAAAACTAAAACACTTAAATGACTCAAAGTTAAATGTACCTTTTCGCACACCACTGGATATGTATCACTCATTAATTGTTCCTTATGTAACTTCCGGATTATCTGTTAAGAGCCACGCTTGTAAATCCTGTCTAGACAAAATATTAATATGACAAAAAAGTGCACTATGCTTTATGTACTTTGCAAAAAACAACGTGTATACCTTTCAGCTGTTTATTAATGCTAATCTCTTACCACTCAATTTTTTGTATTAAAAAACTTTATCAAAGGTAAAATCCTCAGTAATGAGAGAATGAACAGATACCAGCTTTTTCCAAAAAAAAAGTTTATCTTTCCACCCTGTTGTATAATCTTTCTTCATTTTAAAATTAAATCATGTATGTTGCAAATAATTAGTTAATTTTTGTTTTTCCTTTGTTTCAACACAAACATACCCCAAAACAATGGAAAATTGAAAATTAAATAAAATTAAACAATTAGCTACAACAAATATAAACATGTACATAAATAAAAATTAAATATTTCCTACATATAAATTGCCTAACGTTCCAAGGTTAGCTCTAGCTACCTGTGGGCCATTACATGCTTATAAAACTCGGTAAGGGAAATAAAGACTATTGTTGTTGTCGTTGTAGCTATTAGTACAGGTAATAGCATGATTTGTAGTGATATTTGGCATAAATACCGCGAGTGGTATTTCAAAATTGTTATACGTAGTTTCACGAGCAGTTAGGCGAGTGAAATTTGAGGGATTTTTGAAATTTTGCGAGTGGTATTTATGCCAAATATCACGTACAAATCATGCTATTATTTGTTAACTTTATACTACTACCTGCAAAGGTTTTGTAATTTTCACATGTAGGTATTTCAAATTAAGCTGAAAAACCACTGCTCTAAGCCAATCAAATTGCAGTAATTTCTCATGTAGTAGTATAACACATTTTAATGCATGCTAATGTATTTCTCCAGTATTTTGGGTACCACCCCCAAATAAGGAATTCCAAACTTTTTAACTGCTCTGGCACTGATACACTTTAACTCCAGTTTACTCTTCTCTTCAGAAAGAAGCTTGCAAGCTTCATCAGTTTTAGCCATGTCCATGGGTGTTTTACCATAATGGTTGACAAAATCATGATGTGCACCTCCATCAACCAAAGCCTTCATAATTTCAGTAAGAAGATGAATCAAGTCATCACCAGGTTCTAAACTAGCAGCTCTATGAAGTGGAGTATTTCCATCCTCATCAATGGCATGTACATTGAATCCTGCTTTCAAAAGCCATTTAACTGAATCAGCACTTGGAAAGATATCAGTATTGAAGTCTTGAGTTATAATACGATTGACATGAAGCAGTGTACCATATCTAGGATTATGATGCAAAAGTTTTTTCAGCAAAACCAAGGTATGTAAGTATATTTCATCCTCTTCACCATTTTGGAATGCCTTGGCAATCACATGTATCAGCATTTTCGTAGAATCAAACACTGACTCTTTTGCTTCATAGAGTTCATAGTCGCCATCTAAGCATGGGAAATTCTCATACAAAAAAACTGTTAACTCAAGCAATTCTAGCAAAAGTTCTTTATCAGAATATTGCTTGCAATCGAACATTAACTGTGTTAAAGAATGTAAACAGATGACCGCAGATGAAAAACATTCTTCAATACACCCTTGGGCGATTTTTATTGCATATCTGTACAAAGGTATAGTTTTGAAACTACCAGGGTCCATCCTGTTAAAGTGATTAGCAACACACTGAATCGGTTTGAGTAGTTCTACATTGTTTGCTCCAATGATTCTCTCTCTAATAACAAGGCTTTCCATGATGATAGCATCCTCGTCACCTTCTATCTCAGCAAGCTCGTCAAGAGTTTGACACTCTCTTCTGTTCTGATAAGCTTCAGCAGGTTCCACTTGCTGTTTTAACAAAGGATGGGAAGCATCAGCAAACCTTTCTTTCATGCCGCGCTTGATGTAGCTGAATCCTTCCTCGATATAAGAAAAGAAACCATCCATCAAACAAGTAGAGGCTCCAAGTAGTTCTAGAGCATTAGCTCTTTGTTCTTTTGTTACTTCTGGCTGCTTTAATAAAATCTCTACCACTGATTCAATGCAGTTTGTACTGGCTAGAAGAAGAGGTGTCCATCCCTGACTGTTACACAAATGGATGGACGCCTTAGCAGTCAAAAGTGCAAGACAAATGTCAGGTGTGCACTCAAAGTCAAGTGAATAATATGAGTTAAGCACAGCATGGTGTAGAGCAGTATTACCATTCATATCTTGAAGATCTACTTTTGCTCCATTCTCAATAAGCATGGCTACCTTTTTGACATCATTGTTGCAGCTGGTTTGGATCAGTGGGGTGCAATAACGACTGTCACGTACGTCAATGTCAGCTTGATTTTGAATCAAACACTGACAAATGTCTGAAGATGCAAAGTGCAAAGCCGATTGCCCATTTCTGTATTGGAGATTTACATCAGCCCCGTTATAAACTAACCAACTAAAGGCATCAAAGTTCTCGCTTTCAACCGCATAGTGTAGAGCTGTATAACCATCATGGTCTTGTAAATTGACATCCGCACCTTTATCAATAAGAAAGGTAAATGCATCAAAGTGTCCGTTTCTAAAGGCAACAATGAGCGGAGTATACTGGAATTTATTATCAAAAGGCGGAAACGTATAGCGGCCTGAAGATGAGGATGCATTAACGCTAGCTCCTTGTTCAACTAAATAACTTAAAATATCAAGATTTCCGTTAGCGGCAGCGACAAACAAAGGCGGACCAGTGTAGTACATGTAAGGGAAAGAGTCACATCTGTCACGATATCTCAAGCTCTCTCCCTGCTCTTCAATGTCTGCTTTGTAATTCAGAAGTACTTTGACACAATCGAGATTTCCACTTTGAACAGCAACTATTAACGGTGTGGTTTTACAAGGAAATTTACGATCGTTTTTCTCTTTTAAGGCCTTGTCAGTGTAGTCTTGGGCAGCCAAAACAGAAATTCTTTCTGTACTATTCAAACTCTGAAGAATTTCATTTAGTAGCGCAGCATTTCCAGAAACCACAGCTTTCAAAACCTCTGTTCTGTTTTTCATGGTGAACGAAGGTTATTAGAGAACACGCATTGCAGAGAATCTCCTCTATTCTCCCCCGATATCATCAGCCCAATATCATGGCATGATGAGGTTGGTTGTTTTTCTCCAAAAGCTGCTTGTCAGTCCATATTTTAAACGTTCTTTGCTCTCTCATGGTTCTACACAGCCTGCGCCACAGACGAAACTAAACTCTGGTTTCTAACCGCGGTTAACTTACGTCGGTTCAACACGGAAGCAATCTTTATCTTCCAACACGAGCGAAGCAAAGGGGCGAAGCAGCCATTTTGACAACAAGAATTCTAGAATCCAGTCTCCATCGTTGCACAGCCTCACCATCACCATCCAAACGCAGGACACCTAACTTTGATCCTTGCCAATATGATAAAAAATTGTTAAGGAAAGGCGTTTAAAAATTAATTACAATACATGGATTCTAGTTATTCCCCACAAAAGAATAGCTAGTTCCAAATATCTGGCAAAGAATTATGAACAATTTCACATTTCAAAACATGTGTGATGCAAATTAAACACTAACCTATTTAACCCATTCGCCCCTGAACCGCCCGTAACCGCCCGTGCGGATCCAGGTCCTTTCTACCCTTAGTGACGTCATTAGTTTTAACGTTCAAGGGCAACTTTCTTCGGTAACTTGTGTAGAGTGAAGAGATCTTTCAAACCGTACCAGAATGAGCACAATTCAGTCAAGGACACCGGAGAAAGAAGCAAAAAACCACGTGACATTGACCTGAAAATCTCCATGAAAATCTTGTTCCATTGCTCACCTACCTTTCCCTTAACCTAATCCTAAGATCCTAAAAGCTTTCCTAAAAACTCTTCCCACCAAAATGAAGCCTACTAAATGCCCAGCAAGAGAAAAAAAAATGAGGCAAGAAAAGCGAAAAAAGAAGGGAGGAGAGAAAGCGAAAAGCGAAAAGTAAAAGTCAAGACTGCTCTGTCACTTTTAAACCCCAAAACTATCTCGAAATTTTGCTTTCTGCGCATGCCCGAACTTCGCAAGCTGATATTTTGCCTCTGGATAACTCTGGATCAGAAGGCCGCGAAGTGTACGACCTGTAAACCGGTTTGTGGTAAGTTTTAGCTCTTTATAGCACGACAGTGACCAGAAAACCACTCGACTAGCTTCAAAACGCGTTTTTCGGCAAAATCTCCAGGAGCGAATGGGTTAAGACATTTAATTCCGCCCCTAAAAATTTGGCTGAAAACCGTTGGTTTAATTTTCAAAAAGCCGTTTGCAGGTCTTGCACTTCGCGACCTTCTGTTTTAGATGCAAAATAAAAGCTAAAAATTGTCCGAAGTTCAGGCATGCACAGAAGCAAAAAGTTTCCCGTTTTGGTTTGGTTTGAAATACTTGCTTTATATCTTCCAACACTGTACAGGACCTTTTGTGTAAGTGATGACTTCAGCGCAGAAGTGAAGTAAAACAGAACAATTCTCACCATAAGTAGCCCGATCTTTGTAGAAGTGACACATCAGTCTGGACTTTTTTCTTTCGTTTTTCCTTCTCCCCTCTTTCTCACTTTTTCTTTTCTCTTTTTTATTTCGCTAGGCATTTACTAGGCTTTATTTCGGTGGGAAAAGATTTTGGGAAAGCATTTAGGATCATCTTAAGATGAAAGGAAAGGTAGGAGAGTAGTAGGACAAAATATTCATGAGAATTTTTGGGTCAACATTACGTGTTTTTTGCCTTTTTCTCCCCCTCCCGCTGACTGAATTTTCTGTTGTCTTCTTCTTTATCTTCTTAGTCTTCCATGAAACTCCACCTCAAACAAAATGAATAAAACTAAATAAAAACACACAAATGGATACAGCCATGAATTAACTAGTGCTTTTTAAGAGTCCAAGCTTAGCAAGGTGGTTTGAAAGACCTAACCCCCGTCATAGACGACGGAGTAGGGGAAGCAGGGAGGCAGAGCCCCCGAGGGGGGTACTTTAGGAATTTCTGGCTGGGGATGTGCCGCTGGGACCCTGGAGCCTTAACCTATACCAGAGCTAGTTCAGCTGAATTTTGCTACCCTATACTAGAGTAAACTCCCCAAGTCCCCCCTATCCTAGAGTAGCTGCTTTCCAGAAACTACTGAGGTCAAAAGCACAGCCTAGCCAAAAAAAAACCTTGTACAACAATCCCTAGTCTAGATAAAATCTTCAACCAACTGATCAGTTTCCTGAAAAATGATACCCTATTCTAGACCCAAACGCTCTGATTTATATACCCTATCCTAGAGTAAACTGCTTGAAAACTATACCCTTCACAGCGGCACATACCTATATAGCCCACATATGGCAGTACCTCCCCCCCCCCCTGGGGGCAGAGCCCCGCCACGTTTTGGTGCCTAAAAACACTTGTACCGATGTATCTGTGACATCAGCGACTCCAGAGCCCACATTTTCTGCACTTACACGACTCAAGAACTCCCTAAAAAGCACAATGAAGTAGCAACGCCAAACAGGCTTCATTTCGGTGGGAAAAGCTTTTGGGAAAGCATTTAGGATCATCTTAAGATTAGATGGATGAAAAGGTAGGAGGAAAGTAGGACAAAATATTCATGGGAATTTTCGGGTCAACATTACGTTGTTTTTCTCTTGCCTTTTTTCTCCGGGGGGGGAGCACTCTCTTATATAAGCCATATAGGTATGTGCCGCCCCATAGGGTAGGGTTTTTGCACCGTTTTGGTCTTAAAACGGGTATACATTTTGCCCATTTTGTTCTGGAATCGGGTATGGTTTTCGAGGGAACTACGGGAGTGTATGAACGTTTTTATTGTTTCAGTCCCAAATGAGTAAGAAAGAAAGAGAAACAGATATGCGAATTCGACATGGATTTGAAGAATTTTTCTTGTTTACGCTCTAATCTAAGTACTGATAACAAAATATCTGCCTAAAGGCCAGGTCTGAAAACGGGTGTGGGAAATTACATTTTTTGGTCTGAAATCGGATCAGGAAATGGACTGACCGGCAACCTCGTCCCCAGGGCTTTTCCCTTAAAAAATGGGTTGGGCGGGAAACCCGCCCACCTCAAACAAAATAAATCAAAATTAACAAAAACACACAAATGGCTACAGTCATGGATTGACTAGTGCCTTTTAAAGAATCCAAGCTTAGCAAGGTGGTTTAAAGGACCTATCCCCCTCATAGGCGGCGGAGTAGGGGGAGCAGGGAGGCAGAGCCCTCCACGTTTTGGTGCCGAAAAACACTTCAGGCACCGATGTATTTGACAATACCTTTGACATCAGCGACTTCAGAGCGCACATTTTCTGCACTAAGACGACTCAAGAATTACCTAAGAAGCACAATGAAGTAGCAACGCCTAAACAACTGTAGTACTGATGCATTGTCACAAATCGAGGTCAGACACACTAAACACTGTGTAATGATTGCTTGTGCCAATGAACAACGCAAAGGGCAGTTTGGAAAATTTGAGTAGGGGTATGCGTATGGCTGATTGGAAGATGAGCCCCCACCCCACGTTTCAAAACGCTCCGCCGCCTCTTGCCCTGTAGAAGATAAATGACAAGGTTGTCCTTGATTGTTAATGACATGACGTCACAAGCAGTAGAAGGGCGTGGATCCACACTGGCGTTTACTTTCGATTCAGGGACAAGAGGGATTAATAAAAAAAGCTTAAAATCGTACTTGGTGAACACAACAGCGTTCTTTTTTTTTAAATCCGTTCACAGCCTCGTCGGACCAAATCCGAGGCAATCATTTTTACTTCAGTTCAACAACAAATTTGAAACAAATGACAATACTTCGACTTAAACTGAATAAGTTATATTAAGTCCTCGATAACTTATAATGAGCAACAGTGACTTTTGGGGCAGTTAATTTCAAGTGAACGTTAAGGAGGGGGAGGGTGGGGGATGAATATGTCGACGGCCCCTTACATGTTCAAAAAAGAGAAAAACAATTAAAAATAATAACGATCTGGAAAAATTAAGGAGGAATCACGATTTTAAACCATGACCTTTGGGAACTACACAAACTTGGCTGGGTATTTTTATGTTTTTCATTTCTTTTCATTCATTTTACCATTCACATCTTTCTTATATTGAAAGCAGCAGCCCATAACCCGGAGGGAGCAACTTCCATGCGCTCGTGTCAAGGCGATTTTTACCAACCAGTTTATTTTAAGAACGGTTTTGGTTTTGGTTTTGGTTTTGGTTTTGGTTTAGGTTTTGGCTTTGGTTTTTGGTTTTGGTTTTGGCGCGAGTTATGAATATCTTTTAAATTCCACAAACCAGTCAGCCAAACCTATATACCTAAAAATGATATTTTTGCCTTATAATATCGTTTAGTTTTCTTTTTTTATATATCTTATACTTCTAATGCACTCATAGACATGGAAGAGATCCTATTTTCGTGGGAAAAAGTGCCCTAAAATGTGTCTAAAAATAAACTGGTCCGTAAAAACACCGTGACAGAGGCCTAGTATGAGAGTTGTTCTCTCCGGGTTATGGGCTCCTGTTGAAAGTGGCTACAAAAGTTATCTAGTAGTAGGAATACTTTGCAAAGCTTTTTTCAAAGGAGATCTCCCCTTTATTACAATAAATTCTATTGAAATTGCATTGATTACCATTGATGGTGTTTTGATTAATTTATTTGTAACCGTATTAGATATAGCCTCATTTGCAGACGCTCTTAGGGCTTTGTCACCAATCCTTCCCAACAAATAAAAGGAAGGAAGGTTGTGTGACGACGTGAAAGAATGCCTGCGTAGGAGCCTATATGGACTCGACATAATTTTTCCTTACATTTTGTACATATAATAAAGAAAACCAGAAGTGTCTCCTAGCCCCAGTAGCTATCCAAAATGATGTTTTTGATCGAGAGGAAACTATTTGTTGGAGTTACCTATCAATAAAGCAGTGACCTGTCTTAGGACTAGTGTCACGCAATCAATTTTCTGTAAACACGAAAACAAGCCATTTTAGAAGGATGATTTTATTAGGAACTGAAAAGATATATTAAAATTATGTTACTTTTGTCAGAAAAGTTTTGATTATTGCAGCATCTGCCGAGAATTAAAAGGATTTGTATGAGAATAACAGCACTTGTCACCCAGTCAAGATTGTGCAGTTTCCCATACAAACCCTTGTCAGCCTCATTCCCAGGCTTCTCTCCGTCTCTATGGGGAGCGGTTACATAGGGAAAGGGAAATTACAGTGGTTTAATCACTATGTTTGCTATTTGTACTACCCAGCTCAGATTATACCAGAAACTTATTAAAATATTAAAACATGCAATTGGAGCTACAAACAAACTGTAACATTGGGTGGATATTTATTATCTTCCAACAACTAGATATGTCTTGACCTCTTCCCAAAAGACAACGCCTGTGATTCAAATCTTGTAGTGAACAGCAAAAGTTGAAATTTGCATTTTAAGTGGTCAATTACAGGAGGTTTGAATGTATTAAAAACTACATACCAGCATATATAACAATAAGGTATGCCAATGTCCACTGTAACTATTCAACGCAAAAATCAATAATACATTAATAATTATACAGAGAGAGTTATAGAAATTAAAAGCAGAAAATAAATCTAGGGAGCTCTAAAAAACTTGAAAAAGAAGCCAAATTTCCTGAAATGGCAGCCTTCAGCATACACCAGAGGAATTTATAATAAAGAAGTATTTTCAAGCGACTGTATTAAAAAACGGTGCAGAATGTCATGAGATGAGCTTTGCTCTGCTTCCTCTATAAAACTTCCATTTAATGCATGCTAATGTATTTCTCCAGTGTTTTGGGTACCTCCCCCAAATAAGGAATTCCAAACTTTTTAACTGCTCTGGCACTGATACACTTTAACTCCAGTTTTCTTCTCTCTGCAGCTGAAAGAATGATGCGAGCTTCATCTGTTTTAGCCATGTCCATGGGTGTTTTACCATCATTGTTGACAAAATCATGATGTGCACCCCCATAAAACAAAGCGTTCATAATTTCAGGTACCTGATGAATCAAGTCATCACCAGGTTCTAAACTAGCAATTCTATGAAGTGGGGTGTCTCCATCACAGTCAATGGCATTTACATGTACATTGAATCCTGCATTCAAAAGCAATTTCACTGTATCAGCACTTGGAACAATATCAGTAATGATTTCTTCAGTTGAATAAGTCCTAACATGAAGCAGTGTGCCATTATTATTCGTACATCTAGGATTATGGCGCAAAAGTTTTCTCAGCAAAACCAAGACATTCGAGTATGTTTCATCTTCTTCATCATCTTGGAGATTCTTGGTAATCATTTGTATCACCACCTCCATAGAATCAAACAGTGACACTTCTTCATCATCATACCACATATATGCCATATGCCAGACAGACTGGTAATATCCATCGTCGTCTGGCCAATTCTCACACAAAAAAAACTGTTAACTCAAGCAATTCTAGCAAAAGCTCTTCATCAGAATATTGTTCACATTCATACAATACATATGTTAAATGCCATAAACATGACACTGCAGATTTAAAACATTCTTCAATACACCCTTGAGCAATTTTTGTTGCATATCTGTAGAGAGGTATACTTAGTCTGTTAAAATGACCAGGGTCCTTACGGTAAAAGTGTCCAGCAACACGCTCAATCGGTTTGAGTAGTTCTACATTGTTTGCTCCAAAGATTCTCTCTCTAATAACAAGACTTTCCATGATGATAGAATCCTCGTCACCTTCTATCTCAGCAAGCTCTTCAAGAGTTTGACACTCTCTTCTGTTCTGATAAGCTTCAGCAGGTTCCACTTGCTGTTTTAGCAAAGGATGGGAAGCATCAGCAAACCTTTCTTTCATGCCGCGCTTGATGTAGCTGAATCCTTCCTCGATATAAGAAAAGAAACCATCCATCAAACAAGTAGAGGCTCCAAGTAGTTCTAGAGCATTAGTTCTTTGCTCTTTTGTTACCTTTGGCTGCTTTAATAAAATCTCTACCACTGATTCAATGCAGTTTTTACTGGCTAGAAGAAGAGGTGTCCATTCCTGACTGTTACACAGATTGGATGCCTCAGCAGTCAAAAGTGCATGACAAATTTCAGTTGAGTTAAGCACAGCATGGTGTAGAGCAGTATTACCATCCTCATCTTGAAGATCCACTTTTGCTCCATTCTCAGTAAGCATGGCTACCTTTTTGACATCACGGTTCCTGCTAGCTAGCATCAGGGGGGTGCAATTATGATTGTCACACATGTTAACATCAGCTAGATGTTGAATCAACCAATAACAAATGTCTGAAGAAGCCAAGTGCAAAGCTGATTTCCCATTTCTGTTTTGAAGGTTCACATCAGCCCCTTTGTTTAGTAGAAAATTTATGGTCTCCATGTTATGAGATTGACAGGCCAACATCAAAGGTGTATGTTTATACATTGATGTAAAGAGATTAACATCAGCCCCGTTATGAACTAAACAACTTACAGCATCAAAGTTCTTGCTTTCAACAGCATGATGTAGAGCTGTATAACCTCGATGGTCTTGTAAATTTACATCTGCACCTTTGTCAATAAGAAAGGTAAATGCATCATTGTGTCCTTTTGTCAAGGCAACAATAAGCGGAGTATGCCAGATAGGTAAATAATCATTAAATTCAGAAGGTAGGGACCAAGGATCTGCATACTCAGAAGATGAGGGTGCATTAACGTTAGCGCCTTGTTCAAATAAATAACTTAAAATATGAAGAAGTCCGTCGGCGGCAGCGAAAAGCAAAGGCGGACCAGTGCCCATGCACACAGGGTCACAATCCACATAGTCGTCCCCAACCCAAACAAACTCATAATCAGGATATCTAAAGCCCTCTCCCTGCTCTTCAATGTCTGCTTTGTAATTCAGTAGTACTTTGACACAATCGAGATTTCCACTTTGAACAGCAACTATCAACGGTGTGGTTTTACAAGGAATTCCAATAACGGTTTCCCTTTTTAAGGCCTCGTCAGTGTAGTCTTGGGCAGCTAAAACAGAAACTCTTTCCGTACTATTCAAACCCTGAAGAATTTCATTTAGTTGCGCAGCATTTCCGGAAATCACAGCTTTCAAGACCTCTGTACTGTTTTCCATGGTGGACGAAGGTGAATAAATTCCAATAAATTCTCTCCAGCTCTTTACCTAGCTAGCTCCCCGATATCGTTAGTATTTCTCTATCCAAATCCTACTGTCCGGTCTATTTTTTAAAAGATATTTGCTCTCTCATGGTTCTATCTAGCTACAATATGGCGCGCGGCTTGTTTCAAAATTATTTTTTACCAAGATGTTTCATTTGTTGTAACATCTCCTGTGAAATGTAATCCACTTACCTGATTGTTATTTTTCTTCCTTGATATCATTTTACTACCGTGATGTGACATTTTCTACCTTGATATCATTTGACTACCGTGATGGAACTCATTGACGCATTGACTCATTTGACTCATAAAACATTCGTTCTCGAAGCAACGTGAGTGTCTATGATTTTATCTGGAAATGTGCAATATTTAATCTTGGGGCTCACGCATTTAACGCCTTTCCTGTTTATCACGTACTTCGCTTTCTCATATCGAGATTGAAAAAGATATTTTCCATCATGGCAGTAAAATGATATCAAGGAAGAAAATGTTAGCACAGGGAGCCCGCACAATCTGTTTGTGTGGCCGATTGTTATTTTATAGTAAATGTTCTGGATTTACCGTTTGCCTCACCTGTAGCGATATGTCGCTAACTATGTATATAAATCAATGATAAAAAAACGTTGAATTACCTTACCTGTGGTATATAGTCGTCCTTTTACCTCAAAAGCGGTCCTTCTATTATAAGGAACAGTCAACGGCGAATTCAAACTCCTTCAAAATCGCTCAAAAAACCGCTTTTGAGGTAAAAGGACGACTATATACCACAGGTAAGGTAATTCAACGTTTATTTATCATTGATTNTTCCGGAAATCACAGCTTTCAAGACCTCTGTACTGTTTTCCATGGTGGACGAAGGTGAATAAATTCCAATAAATTCTCTCCAGCTCTTTACCTAGCTAGCTCCCCGATATCGTTAGTATTTCTCTATCCAAATCCTACTGTCCGGTCTATTTTTTAAAAGATATTTGCTCTCTCATGGTTCTATCTAGCTACAATATGGCGCGCGGCTTGTTTCAAAATTATTTTTTACCAAGATGTTTCATTTGTTGTAACATCTCCTGTGAAATGTAATCCACTTACCTGATTGTTATTTTTCTTCCTTGATATCATTTTACTACCGTGATGTGACATTTTCTACCTTGATATCATTTGACTACCGTGATGGAACTCATTGACGCATTGACTCATTTGACTCATAAAACATTCGTTCTCGAAGCAACGTGAGTGTCTATGATTTTATCTGGAAATGTGCAATATTTAATCTTGGGGCTCACGCATTTAACGCCTTTCCTGTTTATCACGTACTTCGCTTTCTCATATCGAGATTGAAAAAGATATTTTCCATCATGGCAGTAAAATGATATCAAGGAAGAAAATGTTAGCACAGGGAGCCCGCACAATCTGTTTGTGTGGCCGATTGTTATTTTATAGTAAATGTTCTGGATTTACCGTTTGCCTCACCTGTAGCGATATGTCGCTAACTATGTATATAAATCAATGATAAAAAAACGTTGAATTACCTTACCTGTGGTATATAGTCGTCCTTTTACCTCAAAAGCGGTCCTTCTATTATAAGGAACAGTCAACGGCGAATTCAAACTCCTTCAAAATCGCTCAAAAAACCGCTTTTGAGGTAAAAGGACGACTATATACCACAGGTAAGGTAATTCAACGTTTATTTATCATTGATTTATATACATAGTTTGCGACATATCGCTATAGGTGAGGCAAACGGTAAATCCAGAACATTTACTATAAAATAACAAACAGATTGTGCGGCAGGGGCGTAGCCAGGATTTTTCAAAGGGGGGGTCACAGAGGCTACTCACCAGATTGTCATGTCGACATCCACGCCCATATTAACTAAAGACAAGAGCCGTTGACGAAAATACTTCACAAAAAAACAAATTTTAAAAAAGTGGGCTTTTCAACAATGGCTTTTACGGCCAAGATATTGTCATGGCGTTTTCGCTACCTGAATATTGTAGGTTGTTTGCTCAAAAGAAGGCCTACCAAGGGGGGGTCACGGGCACCCCAGGACCCCCCCCTAGCTACGCCCCTGTGCGGGCCGTAGTTACTAAAAGATGGAACGACCTAAAACCCCCTAAAACCATCTACAACCACCTCAAAAAATTCAACAACCACCTACAACCATCAACAACCACCTTAAAAACATCTACAACCACTCGCCAACAATCTAAAACCACCTAAAACAAGGTATAAATGTCTGAAATAAGGCGAGACGACAACATGTCACGTACATGAAATATGAGAATCGAACAAAACATCCACTTCCCCCTAAAACCTAACTCTCCCTGGTCCCTTGTATCATCAACCATTGGCTTAAGTGACGAAATGAAATGCGAGATCATGGTAAGTATATTAAAAGACTTAAAGAACTTTATAAAATGAACTCACAGCAGTAAAACAAGATAGAAATTGCCACATCACGGTAGTCAAATGATATCAAGGTAGAAAATGGTCCATCACGGTAGTAAAATGATATCAAGGTAGAAAATGTCACATCACAGTAGTAAAATGATATCAAGGAAGCCATGTCACATCACGGCAGTAAAATGATATCAAGGTAGAAATCCCGGGGTAGAAATTGCCACATCACGGTAGTAAAATAGTATAAAGGTAGAAAAATAGCAATGGTTGGTAGATTCTAGGAACATTTTATGGGACATTTTACGCCACATTAAACATCACGTTAACAAATAATTTAGGAACAAACGGCACGCCATACTAAAAAGCCTGCGTCACAGATGAAACTGAACTCTGGTTTCTAACCGGGGTTTGACGCAGGCTAGATTCAAATATGGAAGCAATGATTGCTTCCGCAAGTGCTTCTTCCGTGTTCAAAGATAAAGATTTCTTTATCTTTGAACACGGAAGAAGCAGTTGCAGACTAAACTTGTTAGTCTATGTAAACGTCACTAAAGTGTAGCCTAAAAAGCATGCGATCTAATATGTATACAGCTATTTCGAAAAAGTGCACGCGACAATCCCGGAAGGTATTGTGGGTGGTTTTGAATTCACTGTTCTTCAAAGAAGGTTGAAAGAATGACACGAGAGGCCACGGACGTATGTTTGCGGGTGCTAAAAGAAAGCAACAAAAGTAGGTTCGACAGCTACTGTGTCA